CGAGTGGAGATACAGGGGACCCAGAGCACCTTACCACCGGTGTCCCAGCCCCTACCTGACCAGCCCGCTGCCCAACGCCTCGTCAGCCATCATCTTGCGGCAGGTGAAGGCTAGCTCGTTGACTAGGCTGCAAGATGGCAGCTCTGTCAGGATTCACCTGTCATCCGGGTCTTGGAGACACCCTGGTCTCTCCAGGATCCCCACCCTGCCCCACCCACCTCTGGTTCCCGATGATCCTGGGCAGCCGCTGCAGCGTTCCCACGTCGGCAGCCAAACCCACGTCTACCTCCTGGGGGAGCAATCACGTTAGTGTCTGGTTTCTCCATATGGCCGATGAAACTGCGCCATTTACCACTGGCCAGCTGTGCCACCTCCAGGAAGAAGGCTCTGGCACCCTATCTGACTCCTTGACTGCTTCCGGGCTGTCCTGCCTCCTGCAGGCTCCAACATGACCCTCCCCAGGGACCCCCGCAGGTGGTAGCCTCAGTCCCGCCCCCCTTTACTGACACATGACCTCATCTCCACTGCCTACCCTTCCTCCACGGCCAAGTCTTACTTGGTAGGGGTCAGCTCTGACTCCCTCTTGCAGGAGCCCTCAGGGCACACTCCAGGCCTCCACTGGCCTGCATGGTCTCCGCTCTGCCATTCACTGCCCAGGAACTGGGGAGGTGACTCACCTTCACCTGGAAGAAAGCGTCCTGGGCACAGTACCGGATATCGCAGGCGGTGACAAGGTCTACACCTGGTGGAGAGAAGCTGGATGCTGAGCAACCTCGAGAACCCACCCCTCCTCTGGGGACATGGAGTTGCATCTTGGGACAGTCTAACTAGGAACAGAGCTGAGGCCACTGGCCAAGGCCAATAGAAGCAGCCTGGAGGAGGCCAGCTTGGGGGCACACCGCGCAGCAGACAGGTGGCTGCAGACTCACCTCCGCCAATGCAGCCCCCGTGGATGGCTGCGATCACAGGCTTGGGACACTGTGAGGGAACAGCAGGGACAAGGTCAGGGCTGGCCCAGGGAAGGTGGGCAGAGGGGAGGCCTTACGGTGCCCAGAACCACCTTCTCAATGACGTTGAAAGTCTCCTGGTATCTGGTTATGAGGTTTCGGAGGTACCAGCTGATACGGGCCACATCATCCCCGTGGGGCTGCAGGAGGTCTGAAGCCATGTCCACGAGGTCGATACCTGGGGAGGAGGAGCTCACCTGGCCTCCCATGCCATTGTCCATTATCCCCACCAGGGGCCAGAACCCAGGCACAGTGAGCACCACAGTGGAGAAAGCAACTCACACAGGGTTTTGCAAGGGACTGCGTGTGGGCTGTGAAAGCCAAAGTTTATTGTCGTTACTCGTTTAACCCCCACAATGCCCCCATGAGGCGGGCCCTATTCCAGTCCACTGTAGAGTTCAGTTGTAGCATTCGCTCTAAGTCACACTGGCTTGTGAGTAGCACTGGGATTTCGAACATGGTACCACTCTGGCTCCCGGGGCCATGCGCTTCCCGGTTATGCCAGGCAGCCGGAAACCAAGGCTGGTGGCATGAACGATCGATGTGGGTAGTTTCCAGAGATATGAAGTCCAGGCTGGAGCAATTTCTGTGGCTCCAGCTTCCAGATACCCCTGAATCTGACCTTTCATACAACTTCATTCCCCATGACCCTACCCTGGTCTTGTCCACACAGCCTGTTCCCCTGCACAGCCAGAAGGATCTTGGGAACACCCAAGTTGGCTCGGGGTCCCTTCTTTGTCCCTCCTATCCCCAGAAAATGCAAGTCTTTGGCAACCTTACCAGTGCTTCCTGAACACCTTTCCAACCTATTATTTTTATCTTTCAAGTTTATTCACTTATTTCTTTCATCAGACACAGAGAGAGAGGAAGAGAGACAGACATCCCCAGCATGGTCCCCACACCATGAGCTACCCTCCGGCTTGGCCAGCTGCCTTACTGCTGCCCTCCCCGCCAGTCCCTTCTTCTGGGCCCAGTGGTCTCCCAGCACTTCCCAGGGCCTCCATGCCTCCTGCTCCCTGTGCCTGCAACTGTCCCTCCCCCTTCAACAGCCACAAGACTGACTCCATGGCTTCAGGCCACCAATCGAAGGTCACCTCCAGAGAGACCTGCCCAAGCCACACCAGCTAAGCGGTGGCCCCATCCTATCCCTCCAACTCTGGCCTCTGCCTAACCGTCCCTGGTGCACATCTTCCTCTTTAGAATTTATGATCGTACATGAGCACACCAGAGAGAGGTACACACACAGAGGGAAGAGGCACCCTCCACAGCATCTCAGCACACCACGGTCCCCTCTCCTCAGCCATCCAGCTCTTCAGGATCCCTGGCATGTGCATATCCTCCATGTCTTCAAGGCAGCACAGGGATACGAACCTGCAGTCAGCCACGTGATCTCCAGTACTGCAGCTCGGCTCACCGCTGACTATGCCATGAGACCAGGCCCCATTGCACATCTTGCTATCACACATCACATGTTCCTGGAGTTGAGGGTCTCCACCAAGGAAGTGAGCTCCATGAGCACAGGGGTCTCTGTCCTCTCCACAGAACCCCCAGGCCCTGGTCCATAGTAGCTACTCAATAAGCAAAGCAGAGAGCAAGCCGTGCCCTCACAGGGAGACAAACGGACCTGAAAATGTGTATTCTCAGGTGAGGACATGTGCTCAAGATCTAAGGAGGGAGCAGAATACAGTATGGGTGTACATGAATATGCACACATAGTGTTACAGTTGAGTAAAGACCTGAAGGAGGAGCCCCAGTTCAGTTCCTGAGCCAACATGGGGCACACCTGTAACCCCTGGGACAGTTGGATCTTGACCAAACAGAGGTGGTCAGAAATGTGCATTTTGGGACCAGCAGTTAGCTTAATGCCTATGTTGCTGGGCTCCCATGTAGTTCACCACGGTTCACATCCCGGACCCGGTGGCTTAAAACACGCCGGGCGCGTGTGCGCACATGCCCAAGATCCCGAGAGGAGAATGAGGAGAAGGGATTGCAGCGTGGCCATCCCTCCTGGGGGGTGATTTCTCCGCTTTCTTTCTCTCTGCCTCTCTCTGTCTGTCTGGTGAGCGCACACGCCCTATAGCAAAAACCTCTTAAAAAAATGTGTATTTCACCGGCCAGCTGGATGGTGCATGGCCATGCGCTGCTAAACACACGGATTCCACACGGCAATGGTCTGGACTCCCTGCCCAGTCAGCCTCAAACACTCTAAGCACATCTAATGACTGGAAGACTGGAGGAAGGGGATGGTGGTGTGACCAGACTCTGTGGAGGGTGCTCCTCTCTGCCTTGCTTTCATGTATGTGCACATGCTCTATCATAAATTTAATTTTTTTTAAATAAAGGTTTTGCCTTAGGATGCATGCCCTCGCTGGAGAGAGAGAGAGAGAGAGAGATAAACAGTGAGAGGGAAAGTGAGAAATCACCCCCCATGGCCATGTCACAATCCCTTCTCCATTCTCCTCCCCAGATCTTGGGCATGCACGCACACATGCCTTGCATTGAGTTTCAAGACACCAGGTCTGGGATTCGAACTGTGGTTGGCCATGTGGGAGTTCAATGACGTAACACCCATGCTCTCTGCTGGCCTCCCCCTCAATTTTTTTTTTCTTTTTTTTTAGAATTATTCATTTGTTTCCATTTGTTGTTACCATTTTCTTTAACCTGGCCAGAGAGAGAAAGAAAGGGAAAGTGAGAAAGCAAGCCACCAGGTTTGAGATTCGAACCGCAGTTGGCCATGTGGGAATCCAGTGCCTTTAAACACCATGCCACCTGCCAGCCTCCCCCTCCCCCACTCAAATTTTTTTTTAAATGTTTCTGTCTCTCTTTTTTCCCTCTCTCCCATAAGGGAGGGAAGAAAGACCTAAAGGAGGAGAGGAGAGGGAGTTGTGGGGGTATCTGGGGCGAGATCTCAAATGGCATGAACAGCCAGTGCAAATGCCCTGTGGTAGGAATGCCCTGGTCTGTGTGCGGCACAGGGAGGAGGCCAGTGTAGCTGAAGCAGAGTGAACGAGTGAAGAACAGGATGAGCCAGGGGCTGAGAGGTGACGGGCCGATTGTACAGGGCCTCGTGGGCCACGGGGAGGACTTTGGCTTTTGCTGAGGAGCCACGGGAGGGCTCTGAGCATAATCAACTGTCACTTTCTTCCTCCTAGGGTTAATCATTCTCATCCTCTTGCCTGTCCTCTGGACACATGCCTTGACACATGCCTGAGTGCCTGTTTCAATAAGCAAGGTCAGAGGGGTGCTGGCTGATGATGGAGCTGGTATGTGCAGTTATGTATGTGGAAGTGGGGCTCCCCCACATAACCTGGGCCGGGTTATTCCATACCCTGGGTCTGGGAGTTCTTCTCTGTAAAATGAAAGTAAAACCCCAGAAAGCTGCAAGAATTGGAGGAAATGATGCCCAGAGGGCCCTCACGGGGTGCCTGGCTCGTACTATCATCCTAACTCTTACTACCATTAGATACTCCATTCTGGAGCGGCCCAGACCCGCCTGGATCGACCACCGGCACCTGCTGACTCCCACACCATACCTGAGAACCAGGGTGAGTCACCAGGAGCTACACAAACTCCCAGGACGAGCCCTGTCTGGGGTCTTGCGACACGTCCTCTCACTGGCTTTTCTGGTCTACCCACTCTGCCTAGACTTGCAGATGCTGGTGTTTTCAATATCTTGAAATAAAGAGCCCCAGACCTTAGCAAAAAATGCTCCCCTCAAAAGTAAGAATTAAGGGTCATATAGTAGTTAAGGTGCTGGGCTCCCACATGATTGACCATGGTTTGAGTCCCAGACACAGTGGCTTGAAAATTACACTGGGTGCAGGACCAGCAGTTAGCGTAATGGCTATGTTGCTGGACTCCCACGGAGTCAACTGCGGTTCGAGTCCCGGACCCGGTGGCTTAAACTCACGCCAGGTACGTGTGTGTGCGTGCCCAAGATCCCAAGAGGAGAATGGAGAAGGGATTGCGGCATGGCCATCCCCCCTGGGGGGTGATTTCTCGCTTTCTGTCTCTCTGTCTCTCTCTGTCTGTCTGGCGAGTGCACACGCCCTATAGCAAAAACTTCTCCAAAAATAAATAAATAAATAAATAAATAAAATTTAAAAAAGAAAAATTACACTGGGCGCATGTGTGTGCATGCCCAAAATCCTAAAAGGAGACTGGAGGAGACTGTGGTGAGGCCATCACCTCCGGGGGTGATTTCTCACTTTCTTCTCTGTCTCTCTCTGGCAAGCATACACACCCTATGGCAAAAACCTTTAAAAAAAATGAGAACTAATCATTACAGAAATTTCTCTTGTCCTCTAAGTGAACCTCTAAATACTCTAGATATCATTCATAATCAAAACATTGTTAAGCTGGCCCCATAGCAGAGTAGTTAAAGAAACTGGATCCCACATAGCTGGCTATCTGGTTTGAATCCTGGACACAGTGCCTTGAAAAACACACTTGGGGGAGGGGGCAGCAGATGGCACGATGATTAAGGTACTGGATCCCACATAACTGACTCCGTGGTTTGGGTCCAGGACCTGGCAGCTTGGAAAACATGCTGGGTGTGTCTGTGTGCGTGCCCAAAATTCCGAGAGGAGATTGGAAGAGAAGGGGTTGTGGCATGGCTATCTCCGTGTGAGGATGATTTCTCACTCTCCCTTTCTCTGGTGAGCATGCATATTCTATAGCAAAAAACTACAATGAAAAAAATAAAGAGAATGGGTATGTGTACACGGGTGCCTCAAATCCCAAAAGGATTTGGGAGAAGGGACTGTGGCATGACTGTTCCCCACTGGGGGGTGCTTTCTCCCTCTCCCTCTTTCTGTCTCTGGTGAGTACATGCACCCACTAGCAAAAGGAAAAAGAAAAAGAAACAGAGCCAGCCTATGAAGTGGTGGCTAAGGCAGCTGGATCCCACATGGCTAGCTGCATGGTTTGAGTCCCGAAAGGAGGTAGAAGTGGAGAAGGAATTGAAGCGTGACCATTCGCCGCAGTGGGTGCTTTCTCACTCCCCACCCCTCTTCTCTGGCGAGTGCATGTGTCCCCTGGCCATATTTTAAAAAGAGAGAAGAAGAAATAGAAAACAACTAATTCCAACTAATCTGGCAAACCAAGAAATCCAACACTCTTTGGAGTTATACAATGAGTCTTCAAAAAGTTCATAGAAAATGCATATTCTTAAGAAAAAAACTATGCATAGATTTCAAGAACTTTTGCACTAAAATGAAATCACACTTTAATTCATTTTCCCACAAACTTTTTCCAAATCCCTTTGTATAACACAATTTTTTTTTTTTTTGGAGAGATTTTCACTGTAGGGCGCGTGCGCTCGCCAGGCAGACAGAGACATAGAGACAGAAAGCGAGAAATCACCCCCCAGGAGGGATGGTCACGCCGCAATCCCTTCTCCTCCATTCTCCTCTCGGGATCTTGGGCACGCACGCACACGCGCCTGGCGTGAGTTTTAAGCCACCGGGTCCGGGACACAAACCGCGGTCGACTATGTGGGAGTCCAGCGACATAGCCATTACGCCAACTGCTGGTTCCCTGTATAACACAATTTTGAGTTTCAATAACATCTTATTCCTATTCCCTCATGTCCACAATGTGATCCAGACTTATTCAAAATGTCAAGAAACAGGAAAATGAGAGCTATTTTCAAGACTGACCCCAAGATGATCCAGTCATCAGAATTAGGAGTCAAGGATTTTAAAGTAGTCATTAAAGCCATGCTCAAGGAGAATATAAAGATAAGAAACTTTGGGTGGGGCTCACGCCCCGCCCCAGCGCAGCCGCGTGCCGTGAACGGCCTGGCCTGAACGGCCTGGCCTGAATGGCCTGGCCGGCGCCCCCCCCCCTCCCGCCACGCGGCGGGGGGCCCCCACGTCTCTGCCATTTTTAAGTAAGCCAGATACCCAAGGACAACTCACACTGCAGACCCCCACAACACCATTCCTGGTAACTACAAGATGACTGCTGTGCCGCATCTGCTGATAATTATCCCTGAGTACCAGAACTGCTTTCCTGAAACTGCATTCCTTGGAGACTCACCTACACTTGTGGATCTGCCGGAGACCCTTCCTTATCCAACCCTGAGTGGAGTTTATGCTCCCTATTACCAAAAACTTTATGAGCTGATGGTTGGAACTTGTGGCCTCTCTCCCTTTACTTGTATGTATCACTTTTTCAGTAACTCTTCTGGAAGACAACTGTATATAGCAGGGATATTGTAATGGGAGAGTGAGACAGGGCAGAAGGACAAACATAGGAAAAATAAAAAAATAAAAAAAAAAAGAGGAAGAGGAAAAAAAAACATATATATGTGCATAAGCAAGAAAGTAGAAGTGGAATATTATTGATGATAACATGCTTGATTGGGTCACTGTGCAGTTTATTCTAGATGGGAGATTACATTTAGTACGCTGTGATGATGCTCAGGGAATGAATGTTAGGGGAAAAAAAAAA